CTCTGACCTCCCAGTCTCACGTCCCGTGCTCTGACGTCCCGGTCTCAGGTCCCGTGCTCTGACGTCCCGGTCTCAGGTCCCGTGCTCTGACCTCCCAGTCTCGCGTCCCGTGCTCTGACCTCCCAGTCTCGCGTCCCGTGCTCTGACCCCCCAGTCTCACGTCCCGTGCTCTGACCTCCCAGTCTCAGGTCCCGTGCTCTGACCTCCCAGTCTCACGTCCCGTGCTCTGACGTCCCGGTCTCAGGTCCCGTGCTCTGACGTCCCGGTCTCAGGTCCCGTGCTCTGACCTCCCAGTCTCAGGTCCCGTGCTCTGACCTCCCAGTCTCAGGTCCCGTGCTCTGACCTCCCAGTCTCACGTCCCGTGCTCTGACGTCCCGGTCTCAGGTCCCGTGCTCTGACCTCCCAGTCTCACGTCCCGTGCTCTGACGTCCCGGTCTCAGGTCCCGTGCTCTGACCTGCCAGTCTCACGTCCCGTGTTCTGACGTCCCGGTCTCAGGTCCCGTGCTCTGACCTGCCAGTCTCACGTCCCGTGTTCTGACGTCCCGGTCTCAGGTCCCGTGCTCTGACCTCCCAGTCTCACGTCCCGTGTTCTGACGTCCCGGTCTCAGGTCCCGTGCTCTGACGTCCCGGTATCGGGTCCCGTGCTCTGACGTCCCGGTGTCAGGTCCCGTGCTCTGACGTCCCGGTCTCAGGTCCCGTGCTCTGACCACCCCTCTCTGGTTGAACTCCAAGAGCCGTGGCTCGCTCTTTATGGAGAGCGGCCTCCCGGCGCGGCCTGGCAGCCATCAATTACACCCGGTCCGGACGTGTCCGCCTCTCAGCCTCTCTCGGCGACGTTTCAGCCTCTCCAGGGGCGCCGGCCGATCGCGGCCGATACCATCCCGGCGCACCGATCTTCATCTGGGATGCAGCGCGGTCGTTTTCATCTCTAATGCAGCCTGCCGCCGGCGGCCGGACGCTCGGCTGGGATGGGTCGCGCGATAGGATCGCGCTGTCGTCGGCCGCCGGTGGAGACGCGCCCCACTTACACCCCAGCGAGCGGACACCGGGCGGTCACGGCGGGCTACCGGACGCCTGGGTCGCACGCTCACACTAGGTCAACGCATCGCGTGGGTATGCACAAGCATACTGTAATCTGTAGGTGGTTGGAGACTAAATAAGCTCTGCGCTGCACGCTGCCGCGGCTACTAGCGCCTTGTTTCTCCAAACACTGTCGATTTGGATGATGAGTCTCACTGAAGGCGTGCGCCAGTTTTGGGCCCTCTCCACGGGACGGCGTCGCCGTGTCCGCCGGAGCATCCGTCCGTCGCCGTGTCTGCGGCCGCCGGTGCGCTGGTGAGCAGGGCCGGTCCGTACCGGAGGACGCCTAGCCCGACGTGGGACAGGCCTCTGACGCTGGGCCTGAGGCGGACACCGCCCGCCCCTCCGGCGGCGGGCGTCGGCCCCCAGTTGACTGCCGAGACGGCGGCGCCAGGGCTCGGTGGCCACCGGTGACGGGCGGCGCTGCGCGGGCCTGGCCCGGCGGCGGCCGTCACGGCCCCGCTGCCCGGCGCCAGATGGCCGTCACGCTGTCCGTCTCGTCACCCCGCCGGTACGGAGGCGGACCGCTGGTCCCGGTCCGGACCACTGGTCCCGGTCCGACCGCGTCGGCCTCTGACTAGGCAGCCGGGCTGAGCAGGCTAACCGAAAAGCCCGGCGGTACGGGTTTGCTCCGGACTCATCTTTATGGTGTGGTGGGGGAGGTTGTCAGATGTTGTCAAACGTCAGATGGCCGTTTGGTAATGTTTGATCTGATCTGGCAGCTGATAAGCTACGTTCCCGCCCGTTTAATCTGACGGACGGGAACCTACGCATAGCATTAACTTAGCCCCGCATAGGATTTGTCCGTTGAATCTGACGACTTTGCATTAATACCCTGCTCGTCTCCCCAGCCGATCTTCTTTGCATATATATTTAACGTTAGTCTACATCTGTTTCGCCAACTCTCGCTTTACATGTCCCAGATGGACTGCATTTCCAACAGCATGGCCTGAATATTCCAAATTGTGTTCATGAGACACCGTTCTACAAACGTTTTTCGTCCATGAGCACCGGCACCGCAGATGTCGCCTGGCTCCTCGCCGGGCGTCTCCGACGGTGGCGCCCGGCTGCTCCGCCGGTGGCGCCGCCCGTCAGGACCGCGAGGCACCGCAGCACCCCATTGTCAGAGGCTTATCTCTTCATCGCCGGGGGACGCTCCTGTGACGCCGCGGCCGATAGGGGCTGCCATCGCCACGCGGGGCCCGTGACCTCCAGCCAGTCCTGAGCAGCGGTGGGAGCGCGTAGCGGCGGCCAGGGGCCGATCGGCGCGCGGCGGCAGGCGGCCGATGACCAGCGCCGGCCGAGGTCTAATCAGCGGGGCGGGCGCTCAGCACCGGCCCACGGCCCGGTAATGGACGATGGGGCGGAGCGCTGGGGGAGCGCCGATAGAGTCCAGCGCCCGTCTCACCGAGGCGGGAAATGCTCTTAAGATTTCGTTCACGTGGACGCTGGGTGCTCGGAGCTTTGGACTGCCGGACGGCGCGCTGGCGGCCACACCAGTGACACGCGCCGATCGATCATTTCAGCTGCGCTGGCGTTCATATCGTGTGAGCTGTTTTGCGACCCCTCCGGTGGATCCAGTCCTTGCTGATGCGGCTGTACGGAGCACGGGCGGGCACCGGGTGTCAGGCGTCAGTGCGTACCGCCCCGGGCTGTGCCGACCCTCTCCGCATTCCCAACTGGGCCGGCTGGCCTCTGCTGTTTGCACCCTGCTACCGGCGCCGCCACCAACGCCGCCGCTGGTGCGCTCATTCCTCCCTCCGCCTGGGATTATCGTCCCTCGCTCCGTCTACCCGGCGGCCAAACACGGGCCCGTCCCCCCGAGCCTGGCCAGAGGCCGCTGACGGTGGCCCCCCGCCGCCGCACGGCACGCCATCAGACACCGAATGCGCCGGCCCGTCTCATAAAACAACGACGTCGGGCCTGCGCCACGCACACACAGACATTTACCGCGCTGTGTCTTGGCATGTCAAGTGGTCATGTTTACTCCTGAAGCACTTCGGTTACAGACAGGCACTGTCATTTATTCTTCATATCAGCTACTGCGCGTGAACTACGGCTTATATCAACGCCTTATGTAAACTCGGATGTGCGGCTTGCAGCTATCGCGTTATTATCGCATTACTACATCATTATATACATCGCATTATTATTTTCTACCGAAAACGTCACCCGGGCGCCAGATAAGCGCAGCTTCCCATGTCAGCTTCCCATGTCCCGGCAAACTAACGGTGTCAAGCACTGTCATCCCTGTCGGGCGGCGGCACCTCCGCGTGTCAACACTGGGCGCCTCCAACTACATCCGACGCCAGGGGCACTGCGGTGGCCAGCCAGCTGTGCTCCCCGGCTGCCCGTGAGACTTCCTGCCTCGCTGGAGCGCCGCCCGTCGGCGGACAATGACTCTTGGTGGCGCCATCGGCGGCGGCGTCTCTCACGGGCTCCGGGCAGCGCTGGCTCGTGGAGCGCCTCAGGCCGCTGCAGCCGCCGGCTTTGTTCGATATAGAACACGTGCCGGGTCGAGGTGGAGCTTTAAAATTGTTGTGCATTTCGCGGCGTTATCGCAGCGGGTTTGCTGCTCCAGTTGGGACGGTAGATTAGGACGTCTTCCCTAGTGCTCACCCACGCGTGAAGAGCGCACATTGTGTCTGAGCCGGGCCGGACTCTGCCGAACGGGCTCACGCATTCCAGCCGTGTTTGGCCGGCATCGGCAGCGTGTCGATTGTGGGCGGACATGTCTGCAAACCGTGACACAATGGGCGTGCGGCGCGATGTTCAGATACCACCTGCATGTTCTCAGCCGTCAGAAGGCGGCACTGCTTGGGCGGAGACGGCTTGGTTTGATTGTATTGTGTTGCGCTGTGGACTTGTCTCTGCTTGTCTGGTCACGCGCTGTCTCGGGCTTATAATGAATGTGATATGCGAGAAGGTTTTCGGGCCACACAACAGGCTCGTATAGTTGGGACTAGGCAAAGGCCACATTATCCAGGTCAATGCGCCATGCTCTAATAAGCTGCTGCCGCTTAACCCATACCGGTGGGCAATCCAAACGGCGCTCTAAAAATTATTTTCATCAAACTGTTAGTATGCATTCCGATGGTAATTCCCTACCTTCAGCAACAATATCTTTGGACAAGGTTCTATGTACACATGGCCGTTTTTTCACTGAAGACGCTAAACGCTATGCATCAATTCGCCACAGTCAAGCGTAATTCGACGTCCCAATTTCCCGTGGGGCTGGGAATAGAACCGTGATTTACGCGAAGGCTGTCAAGTACTGAAACCGGTGAGCCTTTTACTCGCACCGCCCACCTCTACGCGTCGCGAACCCGTGCCGCCCGCCGTCGCTGTGACGAAATTTCCGCCAGTGCACGTCCACATGACATTGTCACAGTTCCGCCCATTCTCGGCTGGCGACTGCTCGTTTCTCCGGCCTCGAGCGCGCCGTTTCCCCGCCTCTCTTAGGTCACGAGCATGGTGTTTGGTCCCAGCGGAGCGGCGGGTGGGTGGGGAGGGGGAACCACAGAAGGCAGCAGAGGCCTTCTGTGTGGGGGGACGGCCCGGATCGGCCTGAGATGCCCTCCTGTCCCCCCCCCCCCTTCACACTCCCTCGTGTGTGCTGTCAGCTGAAGCGGGATGTTTCCGGTGAAACGCAAACAAGTGAACTCGCCACTACCTTGCTAATTTTAAGGGAATTTCTCGTCTCTCGTTTTCGCTTCGTAAAAGGTAAGGATGGTGCTCCGGTGCCTCGCCGCTTCAATCGTGCGGCTCCAGCCGGGGCCGTCCGGGCGGCCCAAACGTGCGGCTCCAGCCGGGGTCGTCCGTGCGGCCCAAACGTGCGGCTCTAGCCGGGGCCGTCCGGGTGTTTTCTGCCGACCGTGCGCGTGACGCCTGTCTGACCGTGACGCCTGTCTTCCCCGCAGGTGACGAGTGTGACGGCCTAAACGTCAACGTCAACTGCGGCCAGCGATCGCGCGTCCGGCGACAGGCCAGCGACAACGACGGACTCTACGAGGTCGAGATCAGCTTCCCGGCGCAGAAGTAAGTCCAGCCGGACATCTTAGACCATATGTTCGTTACACATTACGGGGGCCATTCAAGACGGTGCATTGGATTTTCAAATCGGTACCAATACGTTGGCTTATCGATGTAGTTTTTCAATTCCCCTATCCACACTTCTTTAGGCTATGGCCGCCCTCACGCTTGATTAGGTAAGTGACTTTGCCCCTTCCTGGACCTACCCTTTGGTAACAGTTGACATGAAATCTCATGGTCTTCATCGGCCCTCCCACCACCGCCGCGCCACTTCCTCGCCTTCTCCTCCGCGGCAGTGACGTCATGGGTCGCCCACCTGCGGCCACAGGTCAGGGAGCGTGGGACGGGGCTGGGGTAGCGGTGCCGGCTTGCCGGACGTGCCGCCCGCAGGTCGAACCGCGCTCCGGCCGCCACCGGGTCAGACTCGGCCACCGACGAGCGAGCTTCGGCGTTTTGGGGAATAGCGCAGGCGCGACGAGTCGACCTTGTGGGAGTCCAAACACGAGGGATTTTAAACGGGCTGGGTGTGAGGATTCTGTGGGAAAATAGACGTATATCGTTGCGATTGCTTCAGATAGAGATGCTCCAGCGCGGCTGCGTCCGTCGCGGTGCGTCTCTCTCCCTGCGAGGGCCGGGTGTCAAACTGTTCCGTAAATCTAGATTTTCCCCAGGCGGTGGAAACATCGAAAACTGTTAACTAGCGGTTGTCAGGCGCTGAGAGGCACGAGCGCCGGCCAACTGGCGGAACGGCGTGTGACGTAAGAGCACCGCGCAGCAGCGCTAGCACGCCGGCGCTGCGGACGCTCGCGACCGCGTGACGCCTTTTCACCGGGCGGCAGCCTCACGTTACACGAGCCGTGACTGGAGCGGCGGCGCCGCAGGCGGGCCGCTCGGCTGTCGACACCGCCGGACGCGCACCAGCCACCAGCGCCGGCCGGCCCGCGGCAGGCTGCCGCCCCTAACGCGTACCGTGATCGGCCTCAGCACAACGCATACCTTTATTTTTGGCGATATCAATATTAAGTTAGGTAATATGGCATAAAGTCAATTTCGTAAAGCGAAATCGGGGCGCCAATGGCGTGTTCGGTTAAAAAAAAAAGTTCGGTGAACTAACGGATGCAAAAATGATGGCAGTGCCATTTCGTAAGCGAATTGCCATACATTTTGCATTGGCGATGGACACGCTCTTTTACAGTTGTCTGAGTCTTCCTCCTTGGTGGAAGCAAAGAGAAAGCGTCAGCATGCGGTAGTATTTACCACGAACCAATAACCCTCTTAATATCACAGTGCGACGCCTTGTCCATTCATCAGAGGGCCCACAGTCTGGTGAATAAGCCGCTGTAATCGGCGCGGTAACCGGAAACCCAAAGGTAAAGTGCACCACTTACATAATTACAACCCGGTGGAAAAAATACACAATTCTGCCGTTCGACCAGCGAAATGGACCGGCAGTGGGTCGCGGGTTTTTGGGGGGTTTTCTCTAACCCGGGCGCTTTCACAGCTGATTCAGAGCGACAGCCGCAGTGGCGGGTCTGAGTCAGCAAAACGTCTCGCCTCGCCCCGCCGCCCACGGCCCAGAACGGGGCGGCGTGCGCGCGCGCGTCGGCGACCCTCTGCGCCGCCCCGGCCGCGCGGAGAAATCGACCCGATCGCCGTCCGCCTCAGACGCTCGCGCGCACTTAGAAATGCATGGACATCAATCCCAGAGTCAATCACTGAGTCAGGCAGCGCACAAAACGAAGCGGATGCAAATGGTGGTTATTTGACAAGTTAATTGCGCGACGTGGGACCCCTTTCCGAGAGGGCAAGAGTACGGGGAGCTAATGGCGCGCTGATAGGCCAGAGCAGGCCGGCCTTCAGTGCCTACCAAACAGCGGGTGGGCCGGAGGGCACCAGGTGGGTTGGCAGCTGATGAATAATTCACGTGCGTCGCTGCTGTCTGATCCGGAAATACACAGGTGGACCCAGACGGGCGGTGTGTTTTGCGTACTCCGGTGGCTGGGGGCGGCGCGGGCGCACAGCCGTTTTACGGCCTATTGTTGCGATTTGTGACAATGACGGCACCACGGAAGAAAACGTATTGTCCTCGACAAGTCGGGCGGATGGCCGCGACTGTCAGCTCGGATGCGTTCAACAATCGATAGTTGCTCATGTGCGCAGGCAGAGGCATGGAACACCTGGTGTCGCAACTTGAGCTAGCGTGCGTGAGGTGAGTGGCTTGCTCCTTCCCCTGGGTGTGTTCGCCTCCAGGGTCGTGATGTGCCCTCCTTGCTCCCCGCCCCCCGCAACGCGCCAGAGATCCAGCCGTGGGATCTAGACAGGATGGGGGGGGGGGGATTCTGGTGATTATAAGGGAGTGGGATCGTGCAATAGCTCGGCTTCCAAATATTTTCGACGGTCTCCTAATCCCAATATCTGTTTTGATCCGACCATGCTAAGCATCCAGTATTTGGCTGAGCACGAACGGTACTTTTCCGGTCTCTAAACAATTCTGATTCTTGGTTAAGGAAAACGAGCACGCGAAGCTGTCTCTCTACGTGCTTTTCTTCTTAGATACATACGTTATTTGAATTTATTCTTGGCCATACACTACATAAGTGACCTCCTGTCCGAACTCCCAGCGCCGTCCGCCCCTGTGACCCAGCTCCGCCCATCCTTAGGCCGCCTCTGCCCCTCGTGATGGCCACTTCAGTGGCCTCGTCAGCTCCACCTGTCGTCGACGCCGGTCCGCATCTCTCCGGCGCTGGCCAGCGGGCTCGGCCGACCTGCCCGGCAGCGCCTCCTCACACGGGCCAGTGACCCCACCCTGACCAATAGCGCAGCGGTCCCGTCCGGACGACCGTCCGAACGGGACGGGGACGGCTGTCCGGACGGGGTGGGGACGACTGTCCGGGCGGGGTGGGGACGGCTGACGGACGGAGTGGGGACGACTGTCCGGACGGGGTGGGGACGGCTGACGGCTGGCTCGGGCGTCGAACGGCTGGGTGGCGGGGGGGGGGGGGGGGCTCCGTGCTGCGATGGGCTCTGCAGTTATGGGTCGTGTATGGTCGTATTATATCGACCAAATTGCCAGAGTTTCTCGGTGCGATCAGCATGCGTTAGTCGTAGTGTTGTACTTGGTAACTTGTCACTGTCACGCTGGTGCGAAACATAGGTCCACCTGGAAGAGTTGGAGAAGCTCGTAGAAGCTCGTAGAAAGTAAATTTCTGGGGAGAAAAATAGTCCGAAAACGCTCATACACGTACTGAAAACGTTGCATCCAGACGTCATAAATTTCCAAATGGCGTCTTCACTTGGTGTTTGGCATCCACCCACTAGCCCCCGGGGTACGGTTCCAGCCATGAACAACCACCGGAGGGCGGGAGAATCCATCTGCCACGTACATTTCATCGCGTTTTTCGTGGCCAAACGACAAGCTTAATTCACGAATTGGCTGGCGCCGGCCGTGTGACCACCCCTCAGACCTATTTTTTCGCGCGCGCGCGCACGCCCGATGAGAATGGGGTCGGACGACGCTGGGCTGGCGCGCTGGCAGGGGCGAGCGGCCGCGTGCGGACGGGTTCGTGACGCCCGCCGAGCGACGCCCGTCTCCAATTACAACCGCCGAAACGCATTGTCTCACGTTTCACGTTACGCTCGCGCGCCGCGACCACAGTGTGTCGATCGCGAATTGGGTTTGACTGGTGGGAGACGGCGGCGCGGGATCCGCCTCCGGCCCGTCTCAGCGGTGTTTGAGGCGTTTCTGTTGACCAGACGCTGACAGCCGAGCAGCCCACGCAGGGCGCCACTGTTGGTTTTAACAGGGCTGTGGCCCGCCGACAGGGTCGGTCGTCCACAGCCGCATGTCATGCCTTCAGCCACAGCCACTCCTCCGAAATTTATACGTTCTTCGAGATGCATTGCTATCTTTCATTGCAATGAATTAGAGGGATAATCATGAAAACTAGCTCGGTTTGCCCACACATGCAAAAATGAGTGATTTGTGATGCAGTCTTCCAATGAAGGCTTAGGGTGCTTTGCTGTCCTGCTGAAAAGTAGAGGCCCTCGTACCTGCAAGCTATTTTTTTGCGGATTTCTGGTCATCGCCGGCTTCTTTCCGTCTACTTTGATCTCTCCGTGAATGTCGGCTACAACTCCTCTTGGTTCTTCTGCCCTTCACTGTAACGCGCCTACGTGCCGCCACCGCCATCTCTGCGGACGACGCTGGCACATCAGCCTCTGTGATTGTCGGCGCCGTGGACCGCCTGGTCTCGGGCGGCTGTAAATAGCCTCTCTGCACGTCAGAAGCCCGCCTCCCCCAGCTCGAGTTGCCCGTCCGCAGCTCCGGCGCCATCTCCACGGCTCTCGCCGTCTCCGCGGCGAGATCTCCCGGCGCCGAGTGCCTGACGGCCGGAGCGGCGCTGCTCGCCGCCGTGTAAGCGGCGTTTGATGGCGCCAGTGGCGCACCTGTGACGCGCTCGGCGGCGTGGCCCACTTGCTTGTGGCGGCCAGCGGTCCGCCGCGACGCCGCCGGCCTGGCCGGAACGATCGCCGGACGGGCGGGCAGCCGGGCAGCGCCTCTGCCCGGCGGCGCGCCCCGGCTCGGCCATGGCCGGCCGCATACCGCGGTCCCTCGGAGGCGCTCCCCTTCTCTCGGCTCTGTGGCACGCTCCTCTCCGCTCGGGTGGGACGCCACTCTCTGGGCCAGTCCGGGACGTGGGCGGCGCCGGGAGCGGTCTGGCGAGAGGTGCGCGCCGCCGGACTCGCAGCGGGTACGCCGGCCGTCTGCCCGCGCCCCGGCGCCATCTGGCGGCGAGACACGCCTCTCCAGCGTCAGTCGGGCCCGTGTCCGAGGCCCGGCCCGGTCTGGTCCGGTCGCGAGAGATGCGCCCCCCCCCCCCCCCCCCTCCCTCCTTTCACGCTCGCTCCGGTCTCTCCTCTCCCTCCGCAGTAATGTACGTCAGGAGGCCGCGCTTGGTCGCCGGGCCGTCGGAGCCCGGGCCGCATACCTCTCCGCCACCGCTCCCACCGCAGCTTGTTTTTGTCCCGCATCACAAAGAACAGGCGCGCTGGAGCCGCCGTCCGGCTCGCGGAAACCCTGGCCGGACGGGAGGGCCTGTGTGCCCTGCCGCGGCGGCGGGCGCGGCCACGTACCGGCCGTGAACGTCTGGCCCCGTGGCCGTGCCGAACCGGATCTGCAGCGAGCTCTCGTCTGGCGATGGTGATCCGGGCTGCTCGGCTGTCGACTCTCTCCGGCGCTGTTTCCCTCCCTCTCCCGCCGCGCCCCTCCTCCCTTTGAGACGGTGTTTAATTGAGCACGATTTCGTGGCCTGCTTTGTCTTGCTTCTAAGACACCAGACCGGGCAGAAGGACGCCGGGGCTATTGAGACTGTAGTGTGTAACATGCATGGTACGGTTTCTTTGCGCAGACCATTCAATTTGCATAAAGTTTGGAATAATGCGGGAGCCCCGGAAGGCCTGCAGAGTGCCAGCCTTGTCCTAGTTCAGACACCGCGTAGACCACTCGAGGGCTGCTGCAGGAGTAGACAGTACTAGAGACTGTTTGGTAATCGTCGAAATTAAAGCCATTGTTGATGGTGCGTGGTATTTTTGCTTACCCACTTACCTGTGTTTCGAGGTTTCTCTCTCGGGACGTGTTTTGTCGCAGATCTCCGGCTTGCCTCACCTCTCCTCGCTTCTCATAAGCAGCGCTGGCATGCCTCTTTGGCTGCCTCTGCATACATACATGCATACACCTACGTCGAGTTACATATGCTGCTCAGCTGGTTACCGTGCGTCGCCCAGCGTGCGGCGTCCACACTGAGCGTGTCCGTCGTCCTGTGTCTGACGTGCGCACTCCCGCTCTGTGTCTAACGTGCGCCCTGCCGTTCAGTGTCTGACGTGCGCCCTGCCGTTCAGTGTCTGACGTGCGCACATCCCGTTCTGTGTCTGACGTGCGCCCGTGCCGTTCCAGCGGTCCGGTGACCAACCCGGATACGAACCAAGCCACCGATGTGCAGAAGCTCATCGAGAGGATCATCCTGGAGAAGGTGAGTGCCAAGGGTGGCGAGGCGTGCCCGCACAGGGGCGCGCTCAGGGGCCGAACCGAGGCGAGGTGGTCACTCGTAAGCCTAGCCAGAGCCGAAGGAAAGGGATGGGGGAGGGTGGGCTGGCAGGTGATGCCGCTTGTTGGTGGAAAAAGCGCTACATGTGCCGTATAGCGTCCGATCAAGAGACGAAACCGGCATGGGCGTGTCCAGTCACGGCCTATGACGGCTGGGGACGCAAACGTTGCGGTACAGCACACAACGGTCCGGCAGGACAGCCACAGAAGCCACCGTGTGGCTCGCGCTGAACAGGTCACGCGCGCGGGAGCACGCCCATCGGCGGGGATTGTCGCCCTCCGGCGGCGCGGCGCCCGGGCGGGTCCGTGTTCCTTGGATGCCTGGCGAGGTTCTCCTGCTTCGGCCCGAGCCAGCGGCGCTCCGGCGGTTCTCTGCTGTCTCCACCGGTGGCTGGCATTCAGCGTTGTCCGCCGTGCGGAACATAGCGCCATTCAGTAACTGTCACTGACACCGCGCTCGGCCGCTCGTGCTCCACAGCCGCATCCGTACTCGCACCCGCACGCACCCCGCGCACGCACCGTCCGCCCGGCTCCCCAGAACAATGGCACAGGTAATGACACCGGCGCCCGGGGCGGTGCGGTCCGACCGCTGGCGGTTTTTGCTGGCGGGCCGGCGAACATCGCGGCGCGGACGCCGTCCGCCGCACCCGCATGGAAAAATGGACACAGGCGACGAGCGTGCGCCATTAGCGCGGACGGACCGACGCAGCCTGGCGGGGCTGGTGATCCGATGACGGAGACTGGCGGGGCTGGTGATCCGATGACGGAGGCTGGCGGGGCTGGTGATCCGATGACGGAGACTGGCGGGGCTGGTGATCCGATGACGGAGACTGGCGAGGCTGGTGATCCGATGACGGAGACTGGCGGGGGCTGGTGATCCGATGACGGAGACTGGCGGGGCTGGTGATCCGATGACGGAGACTGGCGGGGCTGGTGATCCGATGACGGAGACTGGCGGGGCTGGTGATCCGATGACGGAGACTGGCGGGGCTGGTGATCCGATGATGGAGACTGGCGGGGCTGGTGATCCGATGACGGAGACTGGCAGAACGGGCGGGACCGGGCGTGGTAGACTGCTGGTGCTGGAGGACTGGTGCCAGTGGTGCTGGAGTTCTCTGCTGGCTGGCTAGCTGGGTCGGACGGCATTGTACGCTGTGCCCAGTTTAAATGCTGTTTTCACATTGAAATGTGACATCTCCCGGACGAAACGAGCTCGGCGACCTCCACGCAGGAAAGAATTCAGCGCGGTAATAAGTCCGCTCACGCGGTGGGATGATCCGCACCGTGGAAAGCCGTGCTGGATTGGGCGCGTCGGGACCGCCTTAACCCTAGTTTGCATGTCAATTTTGTTTTGGCGGGCGTGCGTCCCGTGTTGCCGTTCCGGTCAGATTAGCTGCTGTAGCCTCGACCGCATCTGCTGCTGAATTGTGCGACCTTGCTCCTCATTCACCAGAGCTGTCAGAAAGGTCACGGCAATCACGCTCATTGCTTAGCTGATGTGGGCACATGATTGTTGTGCTTATGCAATCATGCCCATGTGGCGGTCATCGTATAGCCCGCAATCGCGCCTCTTTATCGGCAGAGATGATCTGTCAGCACTGTGGAGCGCTGCAAGCAGCCCAAGGGCGTCTATTCGTAACAGAACAAGTGCACACCATCCTTAAAATGTGAGGCACTCACTGCTGTTTGGTCCAAGTCTCCCAACACGCTGCCGACAGCACCGGCGTCCTCCGTCGGGCCAGCAGAATGCGGTCTGATCCGCGGTCGGCATTCTATAGCGCCGGGCTTTGTCTCGCTGAGAGGTCGCTGGCGTGTTTTGATCACGTGCTGGAGCGTCAGTCCGCGGCCAATCCGATCAAAGTGAGGCCGCTCAGTAACCTTGCACACCGCCTCGACGACGCGTGGGCCAGTGGAGGAACCATAAACCGGTTTTCTAGTGCGTTTTTTACGTGTTTGTTAGTACAGAAAGCGAAGTGCCAACGAATTTAGCCCTGCACAGCGCATGTTGCGGTTACACTGCTGCTGGACGGCCTATTTTTAATATGACGGCCCGCGTACGAGGCTGATAACTGCTGCTTCGCCGGCGGGAATGCACCGTGTCTTTGTTCACGGACCAACCCTGCTGCCTTGGTGATCTCATCGGCAGAGAGCTCACGCCATGCCATCTCCACAACCGGTCTGTCGCTCCTCGCTTCTGCTTACCGCTTCATATAGAATTGGATCCGATCAAGCCGTGGGAAAGCCTCCGCTCGCTGGAGCTTTATCTGCCGGCGACGGCTTACGATTGGCGATCGCGTGCTTTCTCTGTTGAGGTCGCCCCCACCGTCTCGCTTTGTTCGGCTTCATAGAGATGGTCTCCTGGCTCGCTAGGCTCGTATTGTCTCAGGTCTCCCTGATACGGTCGGTGCTGCAGCTGCCAACCTCGTCCCGTCTTCAGTCCGGTTGGCGCGGCAGGTCCCTGGGCCCTCAGTCTCGACGGTCTGGTCAGTTCCTTGACCGTCCGCAACTGCGGTCCTCCAGTGCCGGAGACTCGGCTCGGTCCTCTCGTGCCGGAAACTCGGCCCGGTCCTCCAGTGCCGGAGATTCGGCCGGTCCTCCAGTGCCGGAGATTCGGCCGTCCTCCAGTGCCGGAGATTCGGCCGGTCCTCCAGTGCCGGAGATTCGGCCGGTCCTCCAGTGCCGGAGATTCGGCCGGTCCTCCAGTGCCGGAGATTCGGCCCGGTCCTCCCGTTCCGGAGATTCGGCCCGGTCCTCCAGTGCCGGAGACTCGGCCCGGTCCTCCAGTGCCGGAGATTCGGCCCGGTCCTCCAGTGCCGGAGATTCGGCCGGTCCTCCAGTGCCGGAGATTCGGCCGGTCCTCTCGTGCCGGAGACTCGGCCGGTCCTCTCGTGCCAGCGACTCGGCCGGTCCTCTCGTGCCGGAGACTCGGCCGGTCCTCTCGTGCCAGCGACTCGGTCGGTCCTCTCGTGCCGGAGACTCGGCCGGTCCTCTCGTGCCGGAGACTCGGCCGGTCCTCTCGTGCCGGAGACTCGGCCGGTCCTCTCGTGCCAGCGACTCGGTCGGTCCTCTCGTGCCGGAGACTCGGCCGGTCCTCTCGTGCCGGCAACTTGGCCGGCGCTCTCGCCGAGACCTGCTGACGAGAAAGCGACCGGCGGAGGCGGCGGCCGCCCGGCAGCGCCAGTCCCGGCGGCCGACACCGCATTCGCAGGTGCAAGGGCAGCCCAGCCTGAACCTGACAGATGGGATGAAACATCCATGCCGAGTGAGCAAGCAAGCGGGAGGGCAGGGGGGTTGCACGAATGCGGTCGTCGTGCGGTGTTGGCCGCCACGCGCGTTGCTCGCTGCTGGTCTGCTCAGCTGCCGGCGCCGTCGTCTCGGTTCCGGCTGCGTGGGAGGGCGGCGCGGCGCGCTCCCAGACCGGTCGTGATCTGCGAGGTGCCGCTGCCGCCGCTGCCGCCGCCGTGACGGCCTGACTCTCCGGCCGGCGGTCCGGCGGCCGACAGGCTGTCCGATGGAGGCTGGGTGTGGGTGGTGGTTTGCAGTGCTACCTGGGCACGTAGACCGTCAAAACGGAAAAAGCCCTGCAGTCGTGGCTTATGCGAGCATTGTGGTGTTCAACATAGCAGTCGTTTTGTTTAGCGGCTCATGTTTACACCGGCACGCTCGTTCGCGCGTGCCGGTCCGTCAGCTGACAGCGCGCCGTCCGTGACACCCTCTGACAGTGTGTCCCTGACCTCCGGCAGGGAGAGTTTGATGTTCAGTCGCAGCTTCCGAACGTGGTGCCCGACCCGTCCTCGCTCGAGCTGGACTCTGAGTACTTCTGCGAGCAGGGCAAGGTGGTGGTCGGCGACCAGTGCGGTGAGTGACACCCCTCCCCGCTCGCCACGTCTCGGCCTGGCCCAGCGCTGTCTGCTGCTTTCGTCTGAAGTCGCCAGCCGGAGGGGATGTAAAATTGTTTAGCTGTATGGGAAATTCAGAATTGAAAAAGTCATATAACTTATAACGACATAGTTTCTAAGTTTGCACGCAGTGCCCGTGTATGTGTCCCCGACTGTTGGCCGTGGCCTTAACATGCCCAAGCTTGCCGCATCTTGGCCGGACCGTGACGTGACCCCGACCCCCGCCTGACGTGACCCTGAACATCCTCACCTCCACTCCCCTGACGTCACCACTG